TCCAGATAATCCGATTAGCTGGGCGCGGAGAACAAATTGCCTCAGACTAAGGCGAACAAAAAAAAAATCTCTGGCAATGTGTTTTCATTTGCACAAGCAGAGTAGGGCGGTGCACGCTACTCTAGTCGTAAAGTCCGGCTTTTGTCCAACAAGTTTTCCGCCGCCTGAGTCCCCAGCACAAACCATAGGATCAGAGATGAGAGGCGAGGAGAGGCAAGAAAAAAAAGAAGGCTGCAAACGCCCGTGGAGGAGACGCGTACGACTAGTGGTTGACGCATAATCAACCATTCATCCTATTCTATCCTATCCTATCCTATCCACCGAATAAGCTACTGTACAGCGAAAGAGCCCGTTCCTCGAAAAACAAAGAGAGCAGCGGCAAATTCTCTTCCCCTTCTCCACCCCCTCCAAAAACAACAAATCCATACCAATCCACATCCTCTATTAATTACTCTACATACACACATGCTGCAACCTGCCTCCAGGGCCCAGGATATTGGGAATCACAAGCCAGACCCACATCTCGAAAATTGCCTAATTCGGTGGAACCGCCTTTCGGCGTCCAATCGACGGTGCAGCGCGTAAACGAGGGAAAAAAAAGCCCAACGGGATTAACCCTCGCTCGCCAAAAAAAAAAAAGCAGAGAGAGAGAGAAATATGACAAGACCGCATGGCGTTTCTTTAATTCAATTTCACCTGCAACTTCGTCTTCAGCGCCTGACAAAGAAGAGCATCCTAAGCATGAGATGTTTCATTTTATCTGCTTGCCTCGTTCTCTCTTAGTACTCGTACCCGTATTGCGCAACAGCCTATGAAGCCCGGTGGAGATTTTTAACAAAGAAAAGAAATCCCGGCTAAAACAGAAACGCGCTTTATCATTGCTGCCTTTCCGTCCTATCACAAGATCAAAAGCTGCTGCTGCGAGTAGCGTCCCCCTGGCCCCCAAACCTAAACATACCGTGCTAGCATGGCACCTCTTCGCACCCGCAGTAAGCGATTCGAAACGCCCTTCAATAGAAAACACGTAGCTCAAAGTGCCAGTCTCTTTTTCTTTTATTTTTTTCCGCGGCTGTACTACTACAGCCCCGCAACGTCACGAGTGCAGGAGAGGTACTAGGCAGATATATGAAAATGAAAATAAATAAAAAAAATGTCCCGATCCACACCAGCTGCCTGACCTTACCTATCTCGCCTTACCTGTTAAACGCTCCTCTCCCCCCCACCCCGTATCAAAACAGCAACCGCCTTAGAGAGTAGGCAGATCGTAGATCGACAAATCTGACGCCGGAACAACGCAAATCAAGGATTTGCTTTTCCCAAGGCCCCAAAAAAACAAAAACTCACCCCGACCAATCCGGTTTCCAAAACAGTATAGCGGCCCTCTCTAAGACTCGGGCTAGAGAAAGTAGCACCACATACTCTTACACCTTAGCTCTTTGGCAAGGGAGACAAAGTAGCAGAGTAGTAGTAGTAGTAGTAGTAGCAGCAAGCAAGCAAGGACCGTAAGTCGTAAACGTTCGCCCAAGTCCGTAGCAGTCACCGGCTTTTACTTTTTTTTTTAAAGCCAAAGAGAGGCCCTTCTGCCCAACACCCTCTTTTAAGTAGATCGTTCGCCCCCCCGGTTCTCGGCCGTATTTCTTGGAAGGGAAAAGAATTGTTTCCCTCGTAACAGAGTTTTCTCTCTTTCTCACCCCTTCCAACTGTCACTGTTTTTGTTTTGCTTCGTTTCTTTTTTTATTCGATTCACCATCATGTTGGAAGTGTCACTCATCAGCGCCCGGAAGCGTTTCATGTCAACTCTAATCAACGTGGCCACCGACTGAGCGGGTTCTCCCATCCCACGAACAGCCAGCTGGACTTCTCCCCATCGCGCGAGAAACAGAGTTTATCAGGGGAGGAAAAAAGCTGGGAAACTCCCCAATTGGTGCCCGCAGTCATAAATCAGACAGCTGAGTAGCTGGAAACCCCATGGGACAAGATTTCGGCCGTTTTTCATCACCACCAGGTTCACCCTACTGTCGTCTCCCCCGCGATCCGAATTCGAGGAGGAGCATCTGGCCACGCCTCGCCAATCCGCCCATTCATCCCGCCCCTGCGCTCCCACGGGCCATCCGAGCACTCTGCTGGACACAACAGGCCATATCTGGGCCAAAATGACTTTATTCGGCTTTGCCCTCTCCATGGATTCGCACAATCGTCTCACTGGAGACGTCCGGAGAGTCTCGCGGGGAGTCACCTGACATTCGCGCTAATGGCCCAAGTCCTGGTCGGTGGTCAAAATCGGTGAAAGACAAGGCTATCATTGGCCAGAAGAGAGGGGGTCCACAGGCGGATTGACCAATCAAGTCCCCAGCTTCCACCGAGAATGCACATCCGATGGTGGTGTAAGTCGCAGGACGAACCCAGAGTCCCCTTGGATGCCAAATCTATAATTCTCTTGTGTCAGGCAGAGTTCCTGAAGCAGACAAATCTTACACAAAAGACCTGGGACATTGGGCATCTTCACCTTATCGTCCATCTGACAGGAAGCCACCTGCTTCAATTCGTCCTGGTAGCTAGGCAAGGTCCCACTGCATCCCGTGACTTACACGGATATCAACATGGATTTCCCTCGGGACATGACCCGGATGGAACTTGAAAACCCCCGTCTCTCCCCTTCCCCGGAGCTAGAGGAGCTCTTCCACCAGGTCTTCGACTGGCAAGCGTACTCCGGGGACGCTAAGACATCTGATCCTTCTTCCCATCACCATCTCCGCAAGCAATCCCTTAGCAGGATTATCACCGACATCCCATCCTTCATTAGAGACCTTACTCTTGAGTCCGATAGGGATTTCTTCGACATGCCTTCGTACTCGTCTGACGATGGACTCACGTCTGACTACTCGGCCGGTCAGACCCCTCCAGACCTAGTCCAGGGTGGTGGCAGCACCTCACCCTCCGACCACTCGGGGCACTCTCCCTTCCTAGAGCCACTAGACGATGGCCACTACCACCCGGAGGCTTCCCTCAGGGAGGTTCAGGCCCAGGACGATGAGTGGACCTACCCGCAGACCGACCCTTCCAAGGGCATGGTCCAAGGCTACCCCCATCATCTGCAAGGCCTAGATGATCGCCTCAGAAGGGCGGCCGTCGACCAGTCCTCAAGGCTGAAGCGTCGACGATCTGGCAATGACCTAGAGAAGAGGCAACGGCAGTTGGTAGACCCCGGCCAGACGGCAGACGTCCGCAAGAGTGGAGCCTGCCTGCCATGCCGTGTGTCTAAGACCCGAGTAAGAAGTCACTGTACCTCCCAGGTCCCCCCAATTGAATGACAGGAAAGCTGAGATTATCCTCTTCCAGTGCCATGATAGTGGAGTCTGCCCAACGTGCAGGAAGGCGTTCCCAGACCACTCTCACCTGGCCTGCACTCGCGCCACACCATCCACGTTTTGGCCTGTAATGGGCAAGATCCCCGGTATGTGGCGCACGGCACAATGCAAATTGTGCATCATTTTGAGCAAGCCGTTGGTTCAGGGTATTGACAGTGCATTTTTGTGTAGATGTTTGGTCCACCAATCCCAAGGATGAGGAGCAACTTTGCTCCGGCCCACGGTTTTACACCGGAAAGCCCCGAGAGATCTCGGTCTTTTTTACCCCAGACACCAGCCTGCCGGCTCTGCGCGCCACGGTCCAGGCCTACCGGTCGCAGGGGGGCTCCGAGGAGACGGGCAGCCTGACAAAGGCCGACTTCCCTCGAGACTGCGTTCCGAGCCACCAGCTTCTGCAGAGATGGGTTGAGAACCAGATCCAGACAGAGCAAAAGTCCGACTTTCAGCAAGCAGTCCAGAGCTTCGTGCTTGCGTACTCGGAAGAGGGCTGGGGACTTCCCAAGGTATGACCCAATGAAAAGACCCCTTTGTGACCTGTCATCACCGAGCTAACCGCATCTCGCAGCATGACCTCGTCAACAAAGTCCACAGAATGAACTGCTTCTTCCGCATTTGGAAAGCAAGGTCGTTCTGGTGCTTGGATCCAACCAACAAGCTCACCACTCTGCCGCTGTCTGTCCAGGCTCAGCTGAGGAACATTGCCCGACGAGCCATTTACTCACTGGAGCATGACATTCTCAAGGAGATGGACGAGTGCATTGCGCAGCAACTCCCAACAAAGACGCAGGATAGAACCGCTATCTGGGCGAGTATGTGGCTGCTCATCCTCATGTACCGAGAGCTCCTGCAGGGTTTCAAGACCCATATCGGCCGCGTGGCGAGCAGCAAGAGCGAGTCAGCCCAGAACAGTAAGTAGCCCCAAAGAAGGATAAAGAAGAGAGATGAAGTAGATGAAATGAGCCTGGGCGCGAGTACTGACAAACTTGCCAGTTGCCATCCAGGGACAAATCTATAAGCGTCTCTCAGACAGCTTCTTCCCGCTCTTGGTGGTGTTTTACCACTACCAATTCCGAACAAAGAAAAGCCTGGAGCTGTCACTAGACTGGCTCAAGTCTCCCACTTACCCTGCTGCGGCATGCCATAGCAGAGCAATCCGCGAGGCTGCCCAGCAGCTTCTCGACGCTCGCAAAGACCACTGTAAGCTTCTGCTCGTTGTCATGTCATTGAAACCATGCTAACAACTGTATCAGACCAGAAACTGCAGTCTTCAAAGAGCGAGATTGATCAACTGCTGTGCGTCTTCGTGGTGAACCACGAGCTCAAGAAGATGAACGCCAGGAAGCGTCCTTCCAAGGCCAAGTCCTCCAAAAACGCAATTGAGGATGACTGCGATGATGATGCCGAGTAAATGTTTTACTCTTTTCTAAAGACATGCTTCATGAGTTACGACTTGATGACAAACAAGAATGCAAATGGAATGAATGACTAGGAAATGATGGAAAAAAAAAATGGCGTCACTGCTTTGGTGTTCGGGGGAGGGTTTACGGCTTCAAAATTCTTTCTCTTTTGTTGTTTCGTTTGTCTTGATTTTGCTCACCTGAGAAAATTTGAAAACTAGACAGTTTGAATGAATCATGATTGAATGACTATTTGCGTTGAGATCGTCTTGGTGGCCTTTGCATTGACTTTAGCCGCGGAGTTGACATGGTCGATGAGATCCTCCTTGTTGATACGTTTGGCAACTTCGCTAGCTAGGCCAATCTTCAACAAAACTTTGTCCTTCTTGCCCTCTCTCTGCTGGACGCGTGAATCGAAGCTGTGTAACGGTTAGACTTTTGGTCATGTAAAAGTCAATGCATGTTTGGGTTTAAAACTTTACCTGATAGCGTCGATTACTTGGCCCGCTTGCTTCGGCATGACGGGGAAGACGGTGGCCAGGACACTTGCGACGGCACCAAGGTACTGGGCCCAGAACGACGAATCGACACCCCTGTCATCAAGTATGCCCTGTAGCCCTTTGTGTAGTTGGGCATCAAGAGGCCCGAGGTTGCCTCCCCATCTCGCGGCGACGCCAAGGCCAAGGAGCGCGCGGACAAGATGAGTCAGGCCGGGGCAGTCGGTGTCGCGAGAGACGGCATCGTGGACGGCATAAGCAGTATTGGAGTCCGCATCATGACCGTGGCGATTCCATACCTCTCTAACGAAGAGCATGCCCGCACCGGTATTGAAGATGGTGGGGAGGCGGGCGTGGGCGAGATCTGACGGAAGAGATTCTGATAGTTTTCCCAGAATGGCTTCAAAAACTGCTTTTTCGCCATCTTGTATATTGGCTAGGACGTCCAGAGGGCTGCTCTCTCTGATTTCCCGAGGAAGCTTCATCATCAAAGCGCCTTGCCGATTGGACCCTCCGCAGAAGGTAACCCAACCAAGGTATGGAACAGCTTCGATGAAAGCTTCAACGACGAGGACAATGGCAGGAAACTGCTGTCTGCGCCGCTTGGACAAGCCAAAGATCTTACCATCGTAGTGCTGGTTCATGTGCAGCATTCTGGTTGTTTCCTTGAACCGCGAGCCACGAACAGCATAAGTGTTGGATGACGAGATGGGGTAGGGGCTGATAGGGTCGTCGTGCATCAGCATGCTGCCGTAGCCGCGGAACCCGCCACCGCACATGTAAACATCGACGGGGACCTCTTCCCCTCTCTCGTTCGCAGCCTTGATGGCCTGGAGAGCGGGAAACTTGGAGCACAGGTCGGCGTATAGTTTCCGAAAGCCATCCCTCAGGTTGACCGTCTCGGCAGCGTGCACATGCTCGGGATTCTCTTGTAGCACACGCATTAGCTTTGCGGCACCATAAGGCAGGCTCCCTCCGGCACGAGCTGCCTTTATTTCGTAGTCTTGGGTGCTAGTGTCCACCCAAGTCATCTGCACGCTCCCGCCCCCAAGGTCGAGGAACAGAGCACCACCAGGAACACCCCCGAGGCCACTCCTCGATCCCATGACGGCGCCGAGTAGTGTCTCGACAGGAGGATCAAGGATGGAAACGCTCAGTCCTCCAGTGGCCTTTGCGATGGCATCTAGCATCTCAGGGGCGTTGACGGCCCGCCGCATGGCCTCAGTAGCCAGCATCATGATATGTTGGGGAGGGACATCATGAGAGACGGCAAGATGGTGAAAGCGGGCTATGGCAGAAGACACCGATTCTATGATTGCGGCAGGGAACACAGGCCCAGAGGGGGACGGTGTCAGGGCATCAAACAGCGAGATGGCCTCTCTTGCAGAGTAAACCGGGGTGAGAAGACGAGCACGGGGAGGTGCCAGGGAAGTGATGCTGAAGCGAATGCCATTGCTATAGTGCCATTGTCAGTGCCAGCAATTCAACCGGAGGAAGCTCCCAGACAACTGACCTGCCCATGTCAACGACGGCATACAGGTGGTTCTGCTCGTCTGGCCGCCATTGGGGGAGCTTCTGGGACAGATTGTCCAGCGTCACGGTGCTGGAGGCTGGCATGATGTAATGGCGTCCGCCTTGTTTTCGTAGCCCGAATCTGATGGCGTCTCCCCTGTCAGCCAGTCGGTCAGGAGAAAAAAAGACAAAAAAGAAACCAAATCACATCAAACCACAATACGTACAGGTGGCAATACGAGCGCTAGCCTCGAGATACCTGTCACAAACCGACAGCGATGCACGATCTGGGTCGATCGGTCTGAGGCCCGAATGCGACGGGATTTTGGGTTGGCAAATGTTGGTTGGGAAAAAAAACCCATGCTGGCGTGGGGTTTCAGTGGATAGTAGCGGACGGATCCGAATCTCCGACGCCTGGAACGGGTACCTAGCGGAAGGGCAGGCGAGACGGGCTAGGGAGATCTCGAATCTGGAGCTCGAAACGCTAAGTCGACGGCTAGAGTCTTGGGTTTGCAAAGAGGATGAGAAACGAAGGTTTCTGGCAAGCTCTTTTTTTGCAAAGTCGGGGGAGAGGCATAGATGCCCAACAAGACCCCCACCATATATGTATTCGCAGCAAAGCTCATGCACTTCATCTGACATCTAGCGAATAACCCACAGGCCTCGCAGCCTCGACCAATCGATGCCGCCATTCACCTTGTACACAGAGGCATACGTGGAACAGCGTCGTCCTGTCCATGCCGCCGCCCTACATATACCATACATATAGTGGTCTACCTAGTACGAGTAGAGTATCTCGTAACTCGTGATGCCGTTGCTCCATTCTCCCATCCATTCCTACCCTCCTATGCATGCGATGCGCACGTAACTCGTACATCCATTACATTGCCCCCCCCTTCCGTCCATCTGCTTGCTTGCTTGTTTGCTTGCTTGCTTGGCTGCTTGCTTGCCTCTGATTCTGATTCATCCTGATTCTGACTCTGACCGTGTGGCCTTTCTCCAGCGTAAAAGCCCGGCCTTGACGCACGCCTGTCCGTCCGCCGCAATATGACGAATAACTGTGGAGCGGCATCTGCGAGGTTGTCACCGGGCGGACGCGGCTGACCTCGTTCCGACGAGACTGATTGGTACGAGGCCACCACCAAGAGACGAGGATGGGAGGACGAGCAGCCCCCTCCCCTTTGAGCTTGACAGACAGGTCCGATGTGAGTTGGATGCACATGTCGGTCGATGGCATCATCTAGGATTAGTGTGTTCAATCCCCCAGCGGCGTGCATAATCGCAGTACATCGTGTCTGAGTCTGGCTCGTACAATTCATCTCCCATAATATTGTGTACGTGTGCGTGCATGCTGTCTGGGTCTATGTAGAGCTTGTCAGCGGCTGCAATACCATGACTCTCAGGCACAAAAGCACGAGTATAATAGAAGGCCTGAGACACGTACCACGCATGCCTACATCGGCCAAGCACATGTATGGGGCTTCTCGGCACCCGTAGGAATTTATTGTAAACCACCTCGCCTGCACCTGTAGCAGCCGCAGCAAGTTGCTATTCGCCCGGCTTCGTGGCCCTAGATGCCGCCTGCGCTGAGGTTACATGAGAGCAATGCACTCGGGAGTTGTTGTTCGAAAGTGGGAATGAGCAAGCACCCTTCCCCATCTGTGGAAATGGGTCGATTCGAAAAAGCGATTTCAGCCCTGGAGACACTGGCCGTGAGTCGTCTCGAGTCCTGCCAATGACACGGATCCTGTTCCCCCACACTGCCGGAAAGCAAAGCCGCCTCGCAAAGGTGGTGTCGCTTGGAGGCTGCTGTACAAGTCGTAAGGCATGCACAAGTTGGGTATGTGCGTTGTTCGCGCCCACATGGACATACCTACATATGCGTGCTGATGACCCCTCAACGGCAGCATGAGCGCGCACGCTGCAACCAAACCGGTGAGGAGGAGCAAAATATGCGAAAGAGTAGGATAGGCCAAGGTTGATTATCTTTGATGAAGGATTGATGGATCATCTTCGGTTGGATACGGTAATTCCTGGTAGTACTAGTGGTATAAAAGAAAAAGATGGAATAGATAGATAGCCTATTAGGCCGCTTATGAAAGAACTGGCATGGTTGTTGACTTTCCGCTTTGAGACGAGGGTGATAGTGATGGGCAACACGGCGCGCTGTTTTCTCGCCCAATCCGTCCGCACTCGGGAGATGACTCTTGTTGACTGCTGCCCAAGATGGCGGGTGTCTGTCTACATCTAGGTACTGGCAAAAATATGAGCAGAACTGGGAGCCGGCACTGCTCAAGTAATAAGGAATAAGGAATAGTGCCTGCACAATGGATAGCCTAGTGCTCCTGGTTCATCATAGTACATAGTAGTTGGACCATTCGCTGTGACTCTGACGCGTCTTGTTCTCTCCTTTCCGGTTTATCACAGGCCCTTTGTTCCCGTATTCCCGTACCATGGAGGCGAGGCCCCTCATTAGCCTATCCGAAGCCGCTCTTTTCAACGTATCAAGGAGGGGCTCCTTGTCACTGCCCAATGGCTCGCCACATGTCTGGCACGGCCTCATTGGAGAATCGGGGGCTCGACGTGCGTGCTTCTGACTGGCAGCGATATGCTCCAATCATGGGTGGCCCAGCCGTACCCGCAGTGTCTCTCACTTCCATTGTATCGTACATGGTCGATATTCGCCGAAGCTCTTGCATGGCGGCTGCGACTCTAATGTGAGGATCCCGAGTTCCCGTCTTGACGTAAACGTTAATTTCCAGTGTCACCGTCACCGTCAATGGCAGTGTCAGTGTCAGTGCCGTGCTAAAAGCCAACGTCAACGGCAGTTCTTATCAATCAATCATATCCTTGGCCGCATCATCAATCGACGACGTCGGTCGACTTGATCCCGCCCAATCAGCATTTGCGCTCCCCCATTGGCTGTCGACCGAATGCCATCCCTCGCTTGCTCGCTTAACTGATAGCAGAGCCCCGCCTTTATGATGCACATGTTTTCCCCTCAGACGCGTTTAGACGCGTTCTTTTCGCGAAAATTGCACTTTAGCGCGCTGAGCCCAGAATTTTTCAAGAAAATGTCCTCGCACAGAGCACAGCCCATGGGCCATTCTGCAACGACAAGTGATCAATCGCAAAGCTGTCGTGTCTGCCATGTCATGGGTGAGAAAAAAGACCGTCATATTTCTCATTTGCCCCCTTCTTTTCATAGATACGGGCGCAGCAACTTGTACATCTGCGCTGGCAATTGGGAAGCAAGGCTGCATGCCTGCTTGTGTGGTCTTACAAGCGCCTCTTGTCTCAACAGCCGCGTGCTCTCGTACATGGAATTAGCATTGCCAAGGTGTGAACACGTGGGATGAGTGCTGAGATAAAAAAAAACATTAGTCCAAGTTGCAATAAATCAGCAGACCAGATATACTGTAGTTGTAGAAATCCTTCACAGTGCGGCCTTGTCCGGACTCTGTGCTCCAATATCCACTTCCCAGACCTCGACAACGAAAGTTCTAGCCCCCGAACGGAGCAATCCGCGCACTTTATCCTGTCCTGCTTTTCCCCTGATGCCGGCAAGGCTTCCGAGCCGTGCCATTGCTAGACCTGTGCGGTCCTGCTAGCAATCTTCTCCCGACCTGCTAGAGCGAGGGAAGGGAGGGGCTGCAGAAACAGACGCAAGAGGCTTCGGAAGGGTAAATCTTGGTCCTTTTCCAGCCGGTCAAGCTTTTTGGTGGCATCCAACTTTTTGGCAGCCAAGCTCCACCCGCTCGACTTTCAGAGACTCTCGCCGCACTGTCTGCAATGTGTGACCAACCAAGATCAGCTCCATGCGGGCGTGTGTGCGAGTGCTCGCCAGGACGGTGATAGTGACAGCGGACGAGCCCTAGCAGAAGCAACCCGTCAAATGTCCCACCCCTGGCAGAACACACATGACATGAAAGAGGAGGCTGGCTTCAAGACGCTTCGAGTCGAGCCGTCCCCCCTTTGCGCTAGACCTTACTTGTCGCTCTCACGCCACGAAGGAGAGCGAGAGGGAATCGGCCACATGGGCCGTCTGGTACGCTGGCACCTATTGAGGAGCGTTGTCGAGGTTGTGAGCGGCGGGAATAGCTCGTTCAAGTACGAAGTAGCAGCACTAGGAACTAGCTCAGGTCACTGTATGCCCGTATTCATACATACTTGGTGCTGGTTTGCAACCCCAAGGGGTGATGGGCGTGGTCCTTGGGACTCGTGGTTGTGGTCGACATATCGTCAACGTGCCGTGCCCTTGTACTGTAGATCCGGACTCATACCATCTCCTTGTTTCTTTCCGTAAAGAGTACATTGAGGCATTGATCTGTATCATTGTAGGATTGTATCCTCCGTGCTCCGGGATCTGAGTCGGCCTCGCCGTTCAACCGCATGGTTCAATGCGCTGAACGCTGAGACAGTGCCAGCAAAGACATGGAAGTATCTCGACCGTGTACTCGTACATACACCCCAACCTGTCAATTGATCCTTCAATTTCAGGGTCAATCAGGGTCTCTTCGCCTCCTAATCCTTCTCGAGGCCCTGACTGCTCTCCTTACCAGTGCCCGGCGCAAGAGACTGGAGCCGACGGTGGCATCGCATCCGTTGGGTCCAGAAATCGCCGGTACGACTTTCGGGGGGTGCGTCTGAATCGCCATACAAAGTACATGTACCCTGGTGGACGAAGTCGAGGGTTCGAGTTTTTAGCTCAGTTGAGTTGTACCCCAAGCAGAAGCGCCGGTACCTGTACACACAGCACCGAGAAGCCGAAGCCGCGAATGCAAGTACTAGTACCGCAGACGACGCTCAGAGGACGCTCAGAGGGCCCGCGCCACCCGCAGCTTGGCTCCAGCAGGGCCCGCCTCCGCTGGACGGAGGGCTCGCAGTGGCTGTTTTTGGCTCTGGGCTGCCCTGTCCGTGGCCCGTCTAGCGGCCCCGTTAGTGGCCTGCGCTGGCCGATGCGCTGCTTGCGCCTGCACTCCCCACTGCCCTACATACAAACTCCCTGTCGCCCGCTTCTCTCCCCCGTTTCTTCTCCATTCCAGTCACTTTGCGCCGTTGCCTCTGAGCCCGCGATCCCACCCGTGGGGAGAGGCTGAGTCTGTGATTGCGAACAGCTGCATCGCTCTCGCCAGCTGCTGGACCGCCAGCCTTTGCGCCTCAGATCGCCCCGTGGACGACTTTCCTTGGGCCCGGAAACCCCCTTGCCTCGCTTCACCGCACCCGCCAGAGCCAGGACTGAAGCAATACCCACACCGCGGCGACCAGGGAAAAAGGGACCCAAAGCCCATTCTCGCGCGCCTCCTCCAGTCGCGACGACGTTCGCATCAGTTACATGAGTGCTCAAGACTGAGACTGCTCGACGAAGCTCATCCTGCCGGACCCGCGCCGCTCTCTCGGGCGCATCCGCAATCAAGGCGCATCGGCTCGTGGACGCTTCAGACAAAACAACAATTGCTGCGCTTTTTCGCCCAACGTATTTTCGACGCCGACTGGTCGCGCCACGCCCGTTGCGCAGGACAATCAAAGGAGGAACAAGAAGAACAGAAGCAGGAACAGAAATAGAAAGAAAACATTGGACAAAACAAAACAAAGCAAAACAAAACAAAACAAAGCGGGACCTGCCCAGAGGCGCCATTCCGACCTTTTTCAAGACATCACAATCACGCTTCGCACCATTATTGACTCAGTTGGTCAGGCGCGGCATTGTACATTTAGCGCTGCCTCTCCTCCCTTCCCAAACGCTCCCCGTGCTCGCAGCCAACTTCCGCAATGCCTCCCTTGCAATCTCTCATGGCGCCTAGGACACGGGGGTCTCGCAAGGCTGCTCGAGGTCCTAAAACCCCAGAGCCCTTCGCGACGACTGACACTCGACCCCCTTCTCCTCCGCGACCGCGATTTCGACTTAGGCGACGTGCTCCCTCGTCCAACCTCAAGGCTCCCACCCAGCAATTCCTCGCGTCCGTCGCGACAGCAGACGTACCCATTCCAAGCATCGAAGAGCCTCGTCTCCTCGACGAAGACATGGTGGATACGCTCAGCACCAGCTTCCCTCAATTCAACCCTTATCATTTATTCCCCGGCGACGGCGACTTGCCTCGCGGGGGAACCTCTTCACCTCCCAAGACTCCCGCTCCTCCTCAATCCGTCCCCTCGCTGTCGCCAAAGCGATTTCCCAACTGGTCGCTCGACCAGGCCTACAGCAGCCTTGAGTCGAGCCCAGAATGCGACAGTCGGCCGTCAACGGCGCAGTCGACGCAGACGAGCAGCTCGCTCTTTAGCCGCTATTCGCTGAATTCGGACAACCTGAGTCAGTACAGCATTGATGCCGACGACGTCGACCTGCTCGGTCCCTCGTCAATTGAAGACGGTAGCCAAACCATCAAACCCGTTCGCGCTGCCGCCGCCGCCTCCAGCAGGCGCTCGCGCAAAGCTCCGTGGACCAGGTCAATGAGCCAACACCTCTGGTCCGTGTACATGACCTATCTACAAGATCCCCACGTCACTCCGTTTCACATTGCCAAGAGCGGCATTCCTCCCCAGGGAGTATGTATGCGCGTCGCCAGGGAAGCGAAGCGGAGTTGGAAGGGCCCCAAGTCCAAGCAGACCGATCACAGCGGAAGCGCGACACCCACCATTGAAGCTGCGCCGACGTCTTACGTGCAGTGGCCGCACAGCTGCGCAGCAACTCGCGCTCACCTGCGAGAGCTCTGCAAAGCCAGCGCGACCAGTGCTGCGCGCAATCAACGCTACATGGGCCGCAATCCTACGCCGTTCGGCAGGACAGCCAATCGCTTCTGGAACCGCCGGATGGCACCAAGCCGTTCTCAGTCCGCCTTCTCTGGAAATGACATGGCCCTGTCCCTGGCGGTCAGCACATGCGAATCAATGCAGCCTCATGGACCGCTAGCCCAGCTTACCGGATCTCAAGATCAGCCATCCATGGAGCTTTTCGCACCGCCGTCGTTGATTGAAGCCGCTGCCCCTGTGTCAGGCTCGGGAGCTGCCGGCGCGGACATTACCCGGCTGGGCTCCCCTTTCGTCGCTAGAAGCTACGGTCCCAGCGCTTCCAACTCGCTTGCAGACAGCTTCGGCATGAGCTTGGAGCCACAGGGACCGATAAGCAGCTCTGTGGGGACTCGAAGGCGTAGCCTGGGCTCGCCGGCTCGGCTCAGCAACAACAGCCGGGGCAGCAATCAGAAGCGCAGATCCAAGCAGTCTGCTGCCGTCGAACCCAAGAGGAGGCGTCCTAGTCTCGGCTCGGACTTTTGGGTTGATCCATCCAACAATGGGGCTTCGACTCAAGCCGCGCCCTCGGCCGAGTTCAGCTCCACCGCCTCGACCCAACGGGATGCGCTTTTCATTCCCCGGACCAACTTGCAGGAGCTCTTTGAGGCATCTCATCCTTGTGCCGCCTCCCCGCCCCCGTCGTCTTCTCCTTCTAGAGAGACTGAGAAACCCGCCGCGGCCACAAATGCACCCCAGGGAGCTGCAAGCCAAAGTTCAAGCCTAGGTCCAAGCCTGGGTCCAAGCCTCGCTCCTCCTCTCGCCGACGCACCCCTCAGACTCGGCTCTCCATTCTCTGCTGCCAAGGCAAGCTTCTCCTTTCCGGGCCGACGATCCAACAGCATCTCCGCCATCGACTTCAGCATCATTCGCAGGCCATTTGCCACTGTTCAGCAGCCCGTCGAGTCCGAAAGCACATCCCCAAAGTCATCTCTACGAAGCCGTCTCGCATACATCGACGAGCGACTCAAGGATTTCCGCCGCCGCGACCACCCTCGCCGGCGGTCACAATCGCCTGTCTAGCTTTGTTGCTTCGTTTTCCGGTTTCGCCTCCTCTCACATTAGAGGTTATAGTACCTTTCCGCTCTCCAATTCTTCGAAAAATGGGGAACCTTGTTCTCGTTTTACGATACTCCCGATGTTACATCCACGGCCAATATCACACACAATATACGAATTGCATCTTGGGCCATTGTGCTTAAGACAACACTGCATGTCCATCTAGACGGCAACGCATTTGCTTCTTGTTTTCTCTTTCGGAACATCATACGCCTCTGTCTCTCATTTCCAAGTTCTTTGTTTTGGATCACGTCTTTTGGTTTTCCTTATGATACCCGATATATATATCAACAACTATATATCAGAGTACCGATATTTCGAAAAAATCTGTTTTACATCTCAATCAACAAAAACCCCCTTTATTCAACAAGGAGCGACATATACAACGAAACATATACCACATACGCTCACTTTAACGAACTCACTCTTTGACGAAATCAATGCTTTCTTTTATTCGACATGAAGCCCCCGTTATTGGAAGATAATCTTGTTTTAAACATTCTCGGATCAGAGCGCTGTTTTATTTGTTTTTATTTATATTTGCCGAAATTGCTTTCCATGGAAATATGACGTTATGATTGAACGTACGGGATACTGAAACCCGATGTGAAACAGTACCGGAGCAGTTTTCTCCCAAACCCACCCCCCACAAAAGTGTTGGTTCTTTTTTTTTTGCTGCTATTTTTGTCTACTTTTTTTTATTGCGTCATTTGCAAAGCGACTCGGAGGATCACATGTCCACCTCTTCTTTTCTTTTTTTTCTCTTTCGGATCTCTTTCGGAGCCCTTTATTTACTCGTTTTCCGGTGTTTTAATGTCAATTCTTGATTTGATGGAAAAAACGGACTCGGAGGATATGATGTACATGCGCAGGGTTTTTATCCCTTCAAAGGGAATGCTAGCTGGTGTTTACTCTTTTTCTTTTACGTTGCTTTCTCGAGAGAGGTTTATACAGCTTTTGAGCTGAGTCTAGTTGTTTTTTCTTCTCTTCTGTTAGCTTTTAAGCTTGATGATATATGATATAGCCCGTTCAAAAAAAATGAGATAAAATACTTCTTTTTCAAGTCCTCCGCATTAAAGTAAAGCAAAGAGTTGCGATAAACTGGTATCAATAGTACTAAGAAGAGTACCAACTTGCTTTGGTCATTTCAACCTCTCTAAACCGCCCGTCTATAGGATATAATATTTCAACATGAAAGCGTAAAAACCCAGAACCCGTCGTATTTTCCATAATTCCACCCATGATATAACTCCCCCAAGGTGCCCATAATTCCAAAACCGACAAACCAAAAAAAAAAAAAAAAAAGACAAAGGAAACCCCGTTTGAATCGCCTTCTCAGCCTCACAGCTGGCCCGCATCAAAGTCTCCGATTCGCTAGGCGCATAAAACAAAAATAAACCTCAGCTGAGCCTTGCCTCAACATGACCTGTTCAATGGCACCATACCACTGCCGGTCCACCCAATCATCTGAAACCTGAAGTGCCGAATTGTTTCAGAGTCAACTCCCCATTCAGCCGGGCGCCCTTGTAGGCGAATGGTACGTTGCACCCATTGCGGAAGGAGGGGAAAATCACAAAAGTCGATGTGAAAGAAAAAAAAAAAAAGCAATGGCTCACTTATGCCCCAGATCGTGGCACGCGGATTTAGGAAAACTTTGACATGATCGAGCTTGCTATCGAGTGTGGGATGCTTGGCGGTTTCTCCTCGTCGTCTCTGTGGCTGTTTCGCGAGAACAGGGATCTTGGCGGATTGTTGCTGCTGTCGTGGCGCCTATGCCTCCATCTCGGCCTGGGGAGATCCGGTGCGCTCATCGCTCTGCTTGGTGCCCTGACAACAGCATGAGGACAAAGGCCTTCGCCAACAGCTGACCGGTGAGAATGAAAGGAGCACTCACGAAACCCAAACAGCCGTTTGTTGTTGCACAGCTTGTTGGCTGAGATGCGGAGCTGCGGGTTCTTGAGCTGAACGTCGTGGCCGGACTCCTTCATGTTTTCCATGTGCTGAGTGTAATCGGCGGAGAATTCGGGCAGCGTCTGGAAAAGCGACTGAAACTGCATGGGGTAAGATGTTGCCAAATCTTGGTCCGAAAATTTGGGCTGCCCGCCTACAGCCAGGCAAAAGGCAACCATGGCCACAGCCCAGCGGCGGAGGCGTATCGACGGCCCTGTTTCACACTCGGTGTAAAGATATGCCACCAGCTTGGGTGGGACATCCCAATCGTATTTGAGATATAGGTCTTGGATGGCGTCTATGGAAGCATCCTGTAGATAGCCGAGAGAGAGCTGCGAGGCGAAGAGGTGGAGATGGATGATTGCCCAGTGGATATCGAGAGACTCCTTGTCGCCCTTCTTCTGCGCTGAAGTGATGACGTCGTCGAGGTATACGCTGAAGGTGTCTGGAGAATGTACCCACTCGACGAACAGACCAAACATGGCGGGCGATTCGCTGGGGAGCCATAATGAGACTGTTTGTGAATGAAAGGGATCTTCGATACGCTCTTGGAAAAACGGGGAGACATCGCAGAGTAGCTGGCAGTTGACTTTGAATCGGCGCTTCTTGGGGCCAATGAGGATAGTCGTCAGCCCAGAATTATCCTGTTCCGGCTCGGGCGTCGGTGGTAATTCCTTGTCGAGGGTCATCCGGCTTATAGTCGAGATCCGCCGACTGGTCATGTCTGGTCTCAAGTGACCACTCATGATGTTGATTCTGGTTGCCTTGATGTAACGGGGTCGAATCGATCAGTAGAGGGCTAGATAATGTTGTAGTAGATGGCGGCGCAGGTGCCTCAATGTAAAAGCGAAAAGAAAAAAAAGAGTAAAGGATTAGAGATGCCGAAAGGGGGGGTTGTCCAATCCAATAAGCATCAGTAAGCTCGTTCCGAGCTCGCACTGGTGTGGGTGGGAACGTTTTATTAAAGATATCGAGTCGAAGCGAAAGGAAGCGATGTAATGTAATGCAAAGCTCCGGCTTGGTGAAGGCTACTATAAACAGATCGGGAGCGAACCAGTCGTCAAACACAAGCATCGACACATGTCTCATGAAAACACGCATCGGATGACAGGCGGATTGTATGAAACACTATATCCCCAGGTTCGAAAACAGAAAAAAAGGCAAATCTCGGTGATGGCCGTTAATGCCCTACGGCTCACCAAGTATACCAAACGGCAGGGCCATCGTGTAACGGTGACAATGCTGAGAAGATGATGACCCCCCTCCTCCAGGGGTGGCAGCGTATGTGCGTACGTGCGTGCGTGCGCGCGTGTGCGTCCGTGACCAAGTCGACACAGGCTGGCCTTTTGACTGACCCCCGGTTTGGGAATCTCCAGCTTAAGGTGGGCGTCAGGCTGACCATTAGGCCAAGGTGTTTTGTTAGCAAGGCTCAAACGGCTGTGCTAATTACCATGTCTTGCAATATTGGTCACACAGGGCGAGGGTGCTTCGATTTGGGGCGGCAGGGCAGGGCGTGGTGAGATCCGCCGGGATCCTCCACCTGTCCCAGGAGCTGAGCATCGTCCTTACGGACTCCATCTGTTTCAACACCTCAAACGCAGAGGGCCGCTGCCGCTAGAGAAAAGCCAGAGGCACCCGCTGGCGTGTGCTCAGTGTCATCCACGTCACCCCCGTGTCTGAATCGTTCCTCGCACTCTTCAGCAGGCTGGAGCTTGACGCGGCATTTGTCCAAGGTCGACACTTGGCGCTGCGCCGGAATTCTGTTTGTTCGGTTCGTCTCTCTGGCCTGGCTTCGTCTTCGTATTACCCACCCCCCTGCTCCTCGTTTTGCATCAGGACAGCCCGTTTCGGGTCCCCTCTGGAGAGCTAGGAAGAATAGACTTTCACAAGGCATAAGGCAAAGTCAGGTGCGTGCAACGATGCAATCTTAAACCTGGGCAGTCATTGGTTAGCAAACGTCAAGAGACCGTTGGGATGGGGGCCAGCCTTGCCGTAGCTCCGTCACCCCCCTCCCTTCGAATCTATTTCCTGTTCTCTAGCCACCATCTCATCTCTTTTTTTTTTTTTTCGCTTGCCTCCGGAGTTATGGAGCGTCGGGCATCCCAAGGCGGCCGATCATGCGGGCGCGTCCAATGCAGAGCGGCGCGGGCAGGTTCTGAGGTAACACAGTATGGCTGAAAATTAAAATGAAGCACGGGAAGAAAATAAAATAAAACCGAGGACACGGGAAGAGAGGACAAGGTGAGAGAGAGCAGGTGATCTGCACTGATCATCGAAACGGCAAGGCCCAGCCTGTACCTGTACTGTGCCCCGTACCGGGTACATGTACATCATGGCCCTGGGATCATACCGGCCGCATAAGGCTCTCGAGCCCACTGGACTACGGGGCAGCCACCCGCTGAAGAGCTCCGACTTTAGCGCCAGGCCCTTCTGCCCCCGAAAGGGACCCGACGGGACATGTCCATGGATCAGCCCTCAGGACCTTCTAGAGCTCCTCTAGAGCTTCCCCTGGCCGCAACTGAAACCCCCGCAGGCGTCGGCTGTACAACCCCACCACGGCAACCCCGTAGTAGCTTCGAGATGCTCAAGCATGTGCTATTAATGGATTGACGGGTTTTGCATGCTAGACGCCAGAGTGCTGCGCAGGATGAGCAATCAAGTTCAAAACCTTTGATGCAACCCCTCCCGAAACAAGTCGAATCAAGCCTGCCACCCACAAGCCGTTTGCTCACCTGCCTGTGCCCTAAGTAAAAAGGATCAACGGTAAGACATGCAAGGCAAACGGGTGGCATGCATCATGCACCAAGCCGCTAATATTATGCTTAACACCATCATAGCTTTCCGATTAGTATGGACCTTTAATGTTACTTGTCAGCCACACAACTTTCGAGCTTTGATCCACGTCAAGTGACATCAAGGTTGAACTTTTGCCTTCATTCAAAATCATAAGCTAGATAGGTAGCTATAGCGCTGGTATTGCGAAAAAATGAGATAGTCCACCTCGCCCTGTAATCCCTAATGGGTTTTCGTCCCAAGATTGCTCACTCTCCAAACCACAGAAAAAAAGGCATCTTGTGCAGATACGTGTCGTGCTCCCACCATGAATCTCGTTGCTTTAACTTCTAAAACGCCGTGCCGCCCCTTGGTTGTTGAAACGGCCTCCCGAAACCAATATGCTTCAGCAGCAAAGTAACGCAAACCAACGCGAAAGAACCCATACGCCTCTGCAGATGCCTTGTTAAGATCCCAAACTCCCCATATCCGGATGGAGGAATATACGTAAAAAAATAAGTAGCAGGTGACGTTGAAAATGCTTCCAAATAGTGGCAAAGTGTCAATGCTCTGCCTCGGCCCCTTCTCTCTCCTCGCAAAACCGGGGTGAGGCAATAGCACGCCTCCGTAACAAACCAACAACCCAAAGCGGTGTCTTGACATTGCCCATATGATCAGTGCCCCTGAATGGTGCACCCCCTCCTTGTCTCGAGCTGTCTAGATCCTAGCCGGGATGTCCACGTTGTCAGAATCCGTGCCCGTGCTCGTATCGTCATCGATCTGCATGGGGTCGTCAGGTGTCCCTTGGTATGCCCCAGGTGGAACTCCTTGAACGGGTGCCGCTGGTTGGCCATATGCCGGAGGTGGTCGAGGATTCGTAGACGATACTGTAGGATCAACCAGCTCTGCAGTAGCCGAGGACGCGGATAGTCCTCCCATTTCGGCGAGGGGAACTCTCCTACGCGGCGATTCCACAACTTGATTACCAGCTGGTCTCGCTTGCCCATCACTAAGACGGGCCTTTTTTGAGGGGTGTGCATGATCAGCATTCCAGGAGCGTTCCATATCCGCGTTGGTTCGCCTCTCACGAAGGCGGATTCCATACTTCTTCCTAGTATTACTCTGCTTGGTATTGTATCGATTCTTGATCTTGGCCAGCTCATCTTCACGCTCGCCAGGTGGAAGCGCCTCTGCATCTCTCCTCAAGCGACCATAATGTTCTTCAACCTCTTTCATTTCCGTGTCGAATCTCGTTCGTTGTTCTGGAGTAAGCTTTGCGTAGGGGTCGTTGGTTGAAGGACTTGGGTTTGCGCTCTGCGCAGAGCCAACCGGTCTCCGATTCGGGGTTATGTTTGATTTAATGACAGCAGGTGCTGGCTGACTGGGTGCCATATAAAAACTCGGAGGTCCGCGGTTGTTAGATGGCTGATGCGGGGTCATCTTTTGTAATAGCTCTCTCTGTCTTAGCAATTCCAAGATATGCAACCTGGTCTCTTCGTTGTGCTGTCCGCAAACGTAGCTCTTCGTGTGATACGCGAGGCCGCCAGGGCTTTCAAACTGACAACCGCAATGAACGCACTCATCTACATCAATGGTCCCGTATGGCCTGGAGGTGTGGCACTTGGCCTTTTTCGAATGCTGATTGATTGTGAATAACGCACTTCTTGGCATATGGGTTGAGAAGGGGGCATACTTACATAATTAAGAGCATCTGTACTGCTGCAAGGACGATGACATGTTGCACAATACATTATCCCGGCTGTTTGCGCCGGGTTTGGATGTGGCTGACTCGCAATATTTCCGATTGGAATGGTAGGAGTTGGAGGATGGGAAGGGGTGGAGGGCGGCCGAAAAGTAATATTCCCGCTCCGCATAATGGGGATAGGGTGTTGGCCTTGAGGCGCTCGAGGTGGTTGCTGAAGCTGTTGTGGGGGTCCTGGACCTATGTGTGGTGGCATCGGAGGCGGGGGAACTCCTCCGTGGACTTGGTGTGGTGGCATGGGCGGAAGCGAAGTAAGCAGGGCAGTTATAGATGGGATAACATTCTCGCCTCCCTGGCCGGGTTTCTTCTTGACGACGTCGTTAATATGATAGCCCAGGCGCTCAGCTCTAGCCAAGGCATTGATGAGGTCCTGGGCCGCGATGGTTTCCAATCGCGTGGCCATGACCCTATCTTGGAACTGTGTACCAAGCTTGGGACCAATGAGATCTGCAATTTCATCAAGGTCTTCGCCGCGAAAATGCTTGGCGATCTCACGTTTTGATGACTTGAGCACCTTGTCACCATTATCTTGCATAGTGCGGCTTAGGACTGTGGAACTGGAGTAGTTGACTGCGGCATTCGCCTGGAGATGTAATTAGACCGTGGTTCATCCATTGCGGCAAGAGATTGAGAGGAGGACAAAGAAATATGTAATGAAGGGATCTTGTGTGCGCCAGTATAAAATCGCAGTAGAACAAAGGCTAGGGGGGGGGGGGAGAGAAAGGGAGAGAAGATATCCTCCAGCAGATACCGGGTAGCATCGAAAGACGTTGGAAGAAGAAAAAAACGACAAGACAACTGATGAGTTGAAAAGAGAGCACGCAAACTTACGACGAAGCCACAGTGGTAGTCTGACCCAACCAGACACTTGTGCCAGTTTTCCCGAACCACCTGCCGCACCACCGAGGCATCTGTGTTCTGCACCAGGTCCATGAGTCTCTCGTACGCCTTGGTCTTTTCCTCGCTTGGAGCTGTCTTTGGGGCAATGGACCCAAACTGTTTCTGACCGGGTTGGCCTGCCGCTGCCGGCCCAGACAGCGGCGGCGAAACAAGAGCCTGGTGACTGCGATTCGGCACAGCACCCGGGTAGCCTCGCTCCGTGATAATGGTGGTCGCCACCCCGTTGCTGGCATTAGTAGTTGCGCTCGTCTGCGACGACGACGACACCGCAGGCGCTCCGAGGACAGGAACTGGCGGGGTGCTGCCCGTCACGGCGTTCGCCATGGCCGGCGGCTGGCTCACGGGCCCCATGGCTCCCGCTGGCTGGTCTGCGATCTGGGCTCTAATGGTGGAAATGACGGACGCGATGCCCTCACGCGTCTGCGTCTCGTTGATGCGCGGCGAAGGCGAGGCTTCTGGATCGAGTATATCCGAAGTCACAAGGGGAGGAGAGGCCGCCATGTTCGACGCGGCATGGGGGATCGGACGGGATAGATAAATGGGAGAGGAGGGAGGGGGAAAGACAAAGAAAGCGAGCTAAAGAAAGCTGGAAGGGGAGGGAAGACGGAAGAAAAAGAGAGCAACTCTTGTTATGCAGCCAGCAGGCTCTTTTGCTTTGGGAAAAATCGCCAACCAACGCACAAAAAAAACTAGTTGCCTGATAACTGGTTGTTAAAATAACGAAATCCAGCTCGGGAACCTAAAGATAGCTAACTCACCCTATGCATGTGGCTTAAAGCAGCTAAGCTAACCTTCTGTCAAACTTCACGTTTAGTTCGCAGCAGGGATAGCTGGGAAAATGGCCAGGCCCGGCGCACAGCGAGATCGCGGATTCGCTGCCTCTTGCATGTAATCAAATAAAAAGGAAACAAAGAGGCTAGAAGGGTGGGCCTTATAAGCTATTAGTGCCTGAGAAACGAGGCATCCACGCGCATCGGGCTCTATCTATCACTTTTTTAATTAACTCGGGCCCACTTAGAGCCATGCACTAAAGCACCCCTATTGCCTTTGCAGACTGGCTTATAACAAACGACGGGAAACTTATACGAAAATAATAGGCCGGTTTGGCACGCAGTCCGTCACCAACAGCAAGTCGCATCGCCGCCTGCTGCTAATTTCCATGGCGGCCCGTTGCCAAGCAGAGGAGCGCTTAATGCGCGCGCTGAACAAGAGGAGAGCTGTGATGCGCGTGCTGTGCTGTGCCGAAACAGGAGGAGAGGGAGGCGAAATAAGTTGGAGCTTGCCCCGAGTCAAAACGGTCCTACAGTTGCAGAGTCAAAAGAGACATGTGACGATTATTGTGAGCACATGTAATCTAACTTTAGGTAGTAATAGAGGAGAGCGGAACAAAAAAAAACTAAAAAAACAAAATAAAAGTCAAAACAACATACCCCTGTCACGTTACAGCACAGCTACCTACTAGGCACTTAGTCTGCTTAATAGTTGGCACTAAGTAGAAATAACATAGCCCGCTCCGCTGGGTCGAAATGCGACGCCGTAATACGGAGCATTAGTAAAAACTCCACTGCAAACACTCGCAGATAGTATCCTGTCACGGCGTCGGCAGGGGACTTGCTGATAAATTAATTCTCCACGAGCTTTTTAGCAGTGCTACCCAATACTTTATTGCACTCTGGTCTGGTACTAGTACTAAGGTATTGTACTGTAACAATCCCTGCTCACCGTCTTAGATAAGAATGGAAAGCTTAATTGTAACTCCTGATGCATTATTCATTGGCATCCTTTCCCACCGTGTTTCACGACTCATCGTCGCATGACCGTGCTTGTACATGATAGGGCACTAATGCAACAGAGCGGTACGGCACGGGGTACAGGATTCCCTATGCTTGCACGAGATGTCATCTTCAATGCCTAGAAATCTTGAACCTCCATTTCATATTGCTTAGGTGCTAACTCCCTATGAATACTCGTGTGCGTGCTTAATCTTCAACTTCTCACTCTTGCACAGCTGCAAATGCATGTCGTCAGTCATAATCATAAACCCTTCCATCTCGGCAAAGTTCAGCAAAGCCCAGCAAAGTCCAGCAAAGTCCAGCAAGAGTCGTCAACCACGGGCAAAGCACAACGCTCCAGAAACCAGGTTCGCAGCCAGTCCAACAGCATCCTCAAGCGACTCAATCTTCTCCTTCCGAGTGCCCACCCCAGCCTGATCCTCCTCCCTCATTGGGCCCTCCCATTCCGGTGCTTGTTTCTTGATGCTCGAGGTGTATTCGTCCGCCCAAAAGGTGGCCTTCAACGCCGCTGCGTCCATCCCCCATCTCAAAGATGCTCTCTCCAAAAGAAAGTCCACCGACCTCCACCAGTCGCATCGCAGCTTGAGAGGTCGCGTGTACCGTCCCTTGCCGCGTTTGTTGAGCAGCGCCCGGTGAGGCGCGGGGAATGAGCCAAAGAAATCCTCTCGGGCATATCGAGGCAACGCTGGCAGTCGGGCGAGTCGTTCCATGATGATCTGCTGGCGGTGGTAGACGAGATAAAAGTACCGCTGCTCCCAGACATCGTTGTTCCATTTGCGCTCGCCATCTCGAGTCCTTTTCTGGAGGTATGGATACGTGGGGACCTCCGCTAGTCCAGCTTCCATGGCTTGCTTGTGACGTTCTCGCCAGGCGTGGAAGCCGGCATCGCTGTGATAAATCAGCATCTCGAAGAGAACTATGGTATCATCCAGGTCTCGCAGTAGCCGGCCCTCGTTGATGTGGTTGTGGCAAGGCAGGTTATCCCATGGCCCAAATAGCTTCGCACAGAGGGCATCCTGCTGATCCCATTTGGGATTGACTGGAGGAAGGATTTCCGTTGGAGCAAGGTCCGCAGGTGGGATGCTCTCCAGGGGCATCACAGTGCCTTCAGCCTCTTCCACTTTCATCTTGACGCAGAAATGATAATGAAAGCCGGTCGGGATAGAGGTGCAGAGATAACGCTGTAGGGATCAAGATAGAAATGGTGTTGGTGGGTGAAAATGGATACCTGCATCAGCACACATCGGATAGCAGTGCTTCAGTAAAAGAAGGAAAAGATGTCACGAGCAGCGCGAAGATGCTTTTATATAGCAGAGGGGGGAGGGCGGGAACGAAGGGGAGCGTCTGGTGATTGAGCAAGTTCTATTCACTAACCTGACTTCTGGGCAGCTTTGGCCGCCAACGGGCTGCTGTGCCACAAACACAATCCATGCCGAGACGAAATAGAAGATTGGACAAGAGTCAGGCTGTTTCTTGCCTTTTAATTGTCAATAGAGCAATGGAGAAAGAGCAAATGCCGGGCGTGGCTCTTGGGCAGGTGAGCTCTGATTCACTGCCGGATATAAACATCGATATCAAATGTAATCCCCTCCCCCTTTATCATTGGGGAGTCTTTATCGATCCATCTCGTACGACCACGGCCACGGCTTAGTACATTTTCGAATGAATGGACACATTCATCTGTGGCTATTCTCTGGCCTCATACGCCATTCACTTGGGCATCAAAGATTAGATTCAAATTTCTTGTCTTAGAATTGGATTATTGAGAATTGGATACCTAATACCTTGCCCCTCCCCTACAGCTTGATGCCCTGGTAGTACCTCGCCAAAATTTTGTTGATACAATGTAAAAAAAGGTTTCCAAACGCCTCATGATCTCCAGCCATCATTAAAGAATCTACTAGTAGGTGTAAGTTTCCATTAGGGCTCAATCATTGCTGGGATTCCATCGATGCAGCTGCTGGCCCCAGAATTCACGTGCTTCACTCTCCAACACAGGCGACCAGCAGCTTCTGGTAGTCGCCAGATGTCTCTCCTCTGATACGAGAGGCTAATGGCTTCTTGTACCGATGCTGGTAGGCCCCCTTGACGTTTGCAAGCTCGTTCCGATCCCAGTGGAAACGGATGGTTCGAGAAATGAGCAGATGATCTTTGGTGCCCAAGCCGGCCATGGAATCCTCCAAAAGCTGTGCAGCGTGCATATATTTATCAACAGCATGGCGAAGTTGAAACAAGAGAGCCTCTCTCATATGGCCCGAGAATTCCTGTAGGATATTAGCTTATGCGCGAAGCGGCGAACGGTCTGATGGAATAGACCAAAGGCAAAGGGGTACTTACGCTCGCAAGTACGGTATCCAAGTCGCGGTTGAACTTTTGCTTGTAGGTATGGGCGACAGCTCGGATCTGGTTGTCGTTTCTGTTGCTTAAAATGCTGCAAACCAGAATCTCGTCGGTGCCAACCTTGCCCTCGGTCGCCCTGTAGATGTTCATGACGTCCTCTTCTACCTGCTGTGGATTTACTGGTGCCGAGTCCTCGGCCCGGTTAGCAGCCAGCACGATCAAGAAGTGCCTCTCCGTCTTGAAGCTCAGTTCACCCTTGACATCGTTCTCCAAGCTTCGTCGGAATGTATGCTGATAGGCGCTCTTGATAGCTCTCAGGTCGGCGTTGGATCTCGACAATAGAATATCATTCATGACGACCTCCTTAGTTCCCGGGCCCGCCATGGCATCGAACAGGTTATGAATGTCAGCCAGCAGTGGACCACGGGCAAGCTGCACCAGACCAAATTCGAACCAGCTCCTTGTCTCGCTCTTTATATCCTCTACCAGCCTGCGCTTGAAGGTGCGCTCGTAAGTGGATCGAATCACCTCAATCTGTAGCGGGTCTTTTCGCGAAAGAACATTAATCAGAGTCTTCTCGTCCGTTCCAAAGCCTTTCATGGCCCCGCGCAAAGCCTGAGCATCTGGGGTGCCGTCCCATTGAATGATCTGGGGCGCGCCATAGCCAATAGATGGCGGCGTAGGCTGTGCCGGAGGAGCTCCATAAGGCGCCGGGGAAGGGGCACCGTAATGCCCTCCATGCTGTGGAGGAGGCGCTCCATATTGGCCTGGAGGAGGCGCTCCGTAGGGTTGTTGGTGTTGAGGAGGAGGAGCCCCGTATTGCTGAGGCGGCGGCTGTCCGTAGGGCGCTTGTGGTGGGGGATACTGGCCGGGAGGGGGCGGGGGAGACTGGTAATATCCTCCCTGCTGAGGGGGAGGAGGCTGGCCGTACTGCCCTTGCTGGGCTGGAGGATATTGCCCATGAGGAGGAGGGTACTGGCCCTGCTGAGGAGGATATTGGCCCTGTTGAGGAGGGGGATACTGGCCATAGCCCTGGGGAGGCGGCGGTTCTGCGATGTGTTAGACTGTGATCATGGGGTTAAGCTAGTAGAGGATTGCGCGTCGCCGTCATCGCACAAGAAAGACTGCGCGGCCAAAGCCAGCTGGTTCGCGAAAAGAACAAAAAAAAAGTCCATTGATTGGGGAGGCTACTTACGGCCGTAGGGCTGGCCATATCCTTGATAAGACATATTGCAGTGGTTGGTTCCGCGGCGAGTTCTGCGATGGGAGGCGCAACGGTGGTGACGTCGTAGGTGCTGGAGATGAAGTTTCCAGGTGGACGAAGGAACTGGGTGAAATCGGCTTATGTACCTTTGTGCCACCTGCCTATGAGTACCATCTGTGCAAGTTCCGCGCAGCTAGCCGCAAAGTTAGCAGCAAGACGTAACGACTGGAGCTTGTTCGCGCACGATCTGCCTTGCGTGAGAATAAGCAAATAAGGTAGAGCCCACAGTTCATCCCTGGCGAGGCATTAGCCCTTATTGGCGTGAAAGAGAGGGTCGTGGCTGTGTCTTCGGTTCGTGGGACGTCATGCAGCTTGTGAGCCTTGCAAATCACCTGCTCGCCGCCACAAAGACAGACAAGAAGATGTACGTGTAATTGCGCGTTTGATGTCATGTTTGAAATCAGTTGAAATCATCCCGAACTGTTCGACATGTCCGCCTGCTTTATTCCATACGGCATCCATCGAGACGGGTCCGTCTAGCAGCAAGTACTCCGTAATAGTGCTGGGCTATATTCTCCGTATAGTCCGCGTCAAACTTGATTCCACAATTAACACCGCTGCAAGAATTTGTCCGACTTCACTAACAGGCAGGTGGACCGTCATCAGCTTACTGATCGCTGCTGTCCGGCACTTCCAATTGCTATTCATCACTTCAACTCCTTTTTGGTACTCGTACTGCAGACAACACTTGATGCGAGGGGATTTTGATTATAAGCTTCTTTGTCCGCGGTGGGTCGCTTTACTGTGGGATTTTGCAGGTCAAGGCCCATGCAGTCATCAATCAATGCAAGGGACAACGAGCCTCCATGGGTGTTCTGTTAAGCGCTGTGGCGGGCTTCGTTCGACATCCGGGACACCGCCACACACATTGCGCAAGCGACATGGCTGGAACAAGTAAACGCCACAGCCGTGGCTTGGAAATGATCTCAAACGTCGTTTCTTCTTTGATGGACAAATGATGGCATGGATGTGTCGAGTGTTGCTTTGATAATCCCCTGAGGGTGCGCAGGGACAGAAATAGCACAGCCGAGAGCCATCAAAGGACCTGGAAGTACTCCGTAGATGCTGCAATGTCACGTGCGCGTTGCTTCTCACTGCCGTGGACATGTTCACCTCATGCCCGAAATACCAGAACATGTACTGGATGTACCTGCATTTGAAGCTTATACGTACAGCAAGGCAGAGATGCAGATCAAAGTGGTGGTCAAATGTCGAGTACAGAGGCATTGACTCGTATGAGCGTCGTCCATCAGTTTATAGAGGGCCGCTCACTACAAGGTCCCCTGTAATAGCCCGCTGCCACAGCCTTCATAGTGCTCAAGCGCGTGCTGTATCCCCGACTCTCCATTGCCCCACTGCACGGCTTACCTTCTGGATCCCCTTGCGCTGTCGATTTGGCGGCCCGGTCCCGAGACCAGCCTCCGGAATTCCCAGCCACCAGCCATCGCATTTCCATCCGCGCCTTATAGGATTCGGCCACAGTGGCAGCCGCCCAACATGCTGATGCTGCTCTTCTCCGCTCCCCTCCTATCACATTCCTCCATCCAGGCAAACCGCTAAGCGATCGAGTACGAGTACGGCTACATCGTTTTGCTCTGCATTCCCATTCCTCGTCTCTTAGCCGCTTTCAGCCTCCCTGCATGCCTGCCTTATAACGCCGTTGGAAGAGCCAAGAGAGAAGAGAAGCTTCTTCAAGATGCGTGGCGGTCTCTCTCTGATCCTTGCTCTCTCTACATGCCTATCCATAACAGCTGCTCTCCCTCAGCCCGCGCTGGTTCTCCGAGGGTCACCGGTGAACGACCACAAGAAACCTAAATACTCTGTCGTGCCGCTCGAGCCAGGAGAGGGAGATCCGCCGGGCGGTGGGGGAGGAGGAGGCGGAGGAGGCGGTGGTGGTGGTACCGTCACGGTGATTGAGACTGTTGTCGAGACCAAAACTCCTGCTAAGACGGTCACCGAGACGGCCAAGGCCTCTACGATCACCCGCACGGTACCGACGACGGTGTCGATTGTCGACATCACGGCAGACGTGACCAAGACGATCTTCGTCACCCCCTCTCCCACCTCTCACAAACATAGCAAAACCACTGCGTCGACGACAGTCACCACCCGACCGCCTGTGACGAGCAAGACCTCGAAGACAACTTCTACCTCGAAGGCTACCACTTCCAAGGCTGTTACTACATTATCTCGAAGCACCTTGAAAACAACGTCGTCGACTTCGGCGCCGCAAAGCAGCTCTTATCGAACCACTTCCTCGGCGTCTCAGACGACGAGCACGTCCAGTACAACTGCATCTGGTGTGACTACCACGCCAATAATATACCCAATCCCAACTCTTCCACCGCCAACCAACTCTACGATATCGCGGCCCAGCTCCACGACATTGCCGTCAAGCTCCACGACATCGCAGTCCAGCTCCACGACATCGCAGTCCAGCTCCACGACATCGCAATCTAGCTCTACGGCATCGTCTACAACATCGTCTTCCTCTTGGGTGACCACAACAGTCCTGTCGAGCACTACTTCTTCCTTTACCACCATCTATACCCCTTCATCTACCAGCACAAATGATAACGGCCAGTGGCACACCACGTACCCTGCCTGGAACGGGACAGCCCTACATCGTTTCAGATGAAAATCATAACAGGTAACCAGTGAGACAAGACTCGTCTCTAACATACAATCGTACATATTGAAACTTCGAGGAACATATCCGGCTTCTACCAAGGAGTACAAGAAGATACAGCGGAATATTCAGGGGCATAGACTGCATCGCATCTAAGTTTCTGGATATTTTTGCCTTTTTTTTGCATTTGCATCTGCATTTACTGTTTTCCGTTTTTTTTTTTTTTTTTTTTTTTTTTTTGCTTTACTGAATAATGATAATGCTATCAAAGACGAATGGATCCGGATGTTTGCATGGAGAGCCTCACTGCCGCGAGGAAGCAAACTTTTCGTGAGAGATGGCAGGGGTTCTCTCCCGGCTGCTGCAACGCAAACCAAGAGCTGGGTCGTGTTGCCGCTTAACGTGTAACTCATGAGATGGTTGAATAACTCAAGAGATGGTCGGATACAGAAAGGGGGGCGAGGATGGATCAGGGATTAAGCAACGAGTGAAAGATGGTTATGTAGCGATGGTCTTTATGCTTTGGATTGCCAATATTATGCTATTTTTTATGATGAGCCTCAAGTTGCGAGAAATCAGCATTGTGTAACCGCCATGGCGCTACTGAAGTTTGTTCCATCTTCTAGATCACGGACAGCTGCATACGAGCACGCATTCTCATGCACCCGCCCGAGCAAGACAATATTAAGCGCCTTAGCTGATACAAGACAACAATCTGATGCCCCGGGGCGGACAATGGGAATCCTTCTGGGCTATCCGATTATTTCAATCAAACATATTTCCCCTCGAAGCTTTAAGTACCGAGGTAGGTCAACAGCTTTTTTCTCTCTTCCTTCTTTCTGTCCATCTTGCATCTACTTCTCGACTCAATTATATCTTGTTGGTGTATTCTCACAGAGTCTTTGCGTTGAGCGTTTTAATAACACACGCACAATCTGTACGTCTCACTAGAACCTCGATCCTTATTCGTGTCTAACATGCTGAACTAGGAACATCCTCTATTCTTTCCACGACCTTACACTACCCAAGACAGAGCTGAAAGGCTGCGACAATTCAAGCTTCGACAACCCGCTGTATGGATTTCATCCTCCATTACCCTCTAGCAACAACTCTTCCCTCTTGGTCCGACTCAGAGTCTTGGAAGATGGCTTCTCTTCCCCCAAGCAGCGTCGATGTCAACATGGAGACTATAGTGGTGGCATCGTGTCTAGGTGGAGGCATGCTTCTCGCTACGGCTCTCATCGTCACAATCATGCTTGTGAAGAGGAGGGCGCGGCTAAGGAAGCTCCAAGAGAAGGATATTAAGATGGAGGCCACCAAGGCTTGGGCAAGACAAGTATGAGGATGGAATCATGGATGGCTTTGTTGCGAGAGGAAAGGGGATCGAGTCAAGTTTTTTTTTTTCAATCGTCTCATTGCGAGAACTGCATTACAATCTGATGATAGTATGGCTATTTGGGCAGCTCAAACTAGGTAATTAAGCCATGATTCACCTCCTGGAGAGTGTGCATCACAATCACAATCGATATTTTTTGCTGGCACATCATGTCGCCACCGTCTCACCCATTCAGAGGCAAAACCATGAAGCTATTCAGCGACTTGTCAAACGCTCCAATAGAATACATCCACGTCTAAAGCGGACCCCACAAGGCACCGATTCGCTCGAGATGCCTCGATTCAGACTTTTTTTGCTGTAGAAAAGTAAAAACTTTCTTTATCTCTATGCAAGCTTTTTAAAACCTTGATAGGCGGAATCGCTTTCCAAGTAGTGGAAGATAAAAGACAAGCTCTCCGGAGAACACTGGGCTTTTGGGCATACCGAATGCTGCAACTTGCAGTCGCTCACTCACTTACTCACTCTCAACAACACCTTGCAAAGATTACACGTCGAGCTCGAGCTCGAGCAATTACAGTCTTCCTGTCAGAATGAAAGACCCTGGTCTGTTGGTTCCTGGCTGGGCACTCTTGGCCCGCGTAGCTGCTCCCCCGATGCTCACGCGCGACGAGCCTACGCTGGAGACGTTATCTCGCACCGGCTCGCACAACGGCTCAGATGCTGGTTCTGACCTCCATCCAGAACCTCATCCAGATTCTCTTTTAGATGTTCATCCCGATGTTCATCCTGATATTCATCCAGACGTTCGTTCAGAGTCTCGTTCGGAGCCCCATTCAGCAGATACTATTCCAGATCTCCCCTCAGATCTTTATTCAGACCTCCATTCAGAACTTTATCCAGATGATCTTTTAGATGTTCATCCTGATTCTCGCCCTGAGTCTCGTTCGGAGCCTCATTCAGACTTTCTTTTAGATCTCCGTTCAGATCTTCATGCAGGCCCTCGTTCGGATCTCCGTTCAGATTCTCTCTCAGATATTCACCCAGATTCTCTTTTAGAGTTTCATCTAGACACTCGCTCAGAACCTCAGCCGGTACGGCTCACGGGCGGGATATGTTCTCCGGAGGGTCAATGGAATTGCATGACAACTTCATGGCAGCGATGTGCAAGCGGCATGTGGAGCGCTGTGATTCCATGTGCGGCGGGGACGATCTGCCAGCCGTCCGGACTTACGGATTTCATTACCATTGAGCACGATCCAAGTATCATCACCGGTCATGGAGATAATGGCCATGCAAGCGATGGCAAGGCCGATAGCGGTCGTGATAAGAGCGGGAAGAAGAGCCTTGGCCTCAGAAACTCACCCGGCCTAGTCTTACTCGTTGGGGCTGTTGTGACGGGGTTTTCTTGGGGTTTTCTTGTGTGAATCGCGATTGGCAAGCTTTATGAGGAGCAAGGCATCAAATTAGCTGCGTAAGTAAAACACATCGTGAGAACGAACTTAGCTAGCTTCGGTGGAGAGCAAATAATTCCAGCGGGAAAATATCCGCCACTGCGGCGTGATTCCTGCAGGCCACATGTGCTCGATACATAGATACACCCATGATTTCATATCCGCAAATTGGGACGCTATTGATATCGCAATAGATGGTAGACCGCAGCGCCATATCAGAAAAGTGCAAACCAATTTATATGAAGCCAAAAGGGTGTGTACGGAGTTGGCGCACGTTTGAAGCTCAAGCTCCGCTCCCCAAACTTCGTGAATATTTCCTCTTCCAGTAGCCTCACCCGCCCATATAAGACGTGCCCGGGTCCTACCCACAACACGTACCTCATATCGTATGTGCGCTTAGATGAGGTGGGCTTATCTGGCCGTGGTTGAACATGCTATATTTGGCATATCCTCTCGGTGTGCATGGACATGCATCCGCCTTGCAACAGTTGCGCCGGCGGAAACGGATCCGCATGAATCTCTTTGGTGCCCGCTACCGCGCTCCTCTTTTTAGCTGGCTGTCGTGATTCTGGATTCCTTTTCTTTCCCCCCCTCCTATTTCAATTAATAAGGCTGAAGAAGAAGAAATCCCTCTGGCAAGAGGACAGTCTTTGCAAGTTCAGCTTCAAAAGAGCTGCGAAGAAGACCGAAAACATGGGGTCAAAGGGGACCATCATCGTCACGGGAGCCAACGGCGGACTTGGCTCCGCCATCGTGCAGAACATCCTCGGCACTCCAGAGCTGGCCTCGAACTACACCGGCGTGTATGCTGTGCGAAAGGCCGCGACGGCGACGAAGCTCAACGCGGCGCTGTCTCGGGCCCCGGCAAATCACAAGCATGAGACGGTGGCAGTCGATCTTGGTTCATTGGCGGATATCAGAAAAGTGGCCACGGACATCAATGACAAGGTGGCCAAGGGCGATTTGCCTAGGATCCGGGCCCTGATCTTGAATGCCGGATATCAAGACCACGCGGGCATTGTGAGTTTACCTTCTCGTACATTTATACTGCCAACCCTGCAGTACTCAGTTTGGCTTCATCGCTTGGTTATTGACGTGGGGTATTCCAGGCCATGAGCAGAGATGGCTTCGAAATGTCATGGCAAGTCAACTTTCTGTCCAATCTGCTCTTGTCGCTGCTCCTCCTCCAGAGCATGGATGCGCAAGAGGGCCGCATTCTCCTTATTGGCAGCTGGGCCCATAAGTAAGTATAAAAACATATCATCAAAAGAGCACAGCGAAGGAGTCCCGAAGCTGAATCCCCCCACAGCATAGAAGACAAGCGCAACGATGTAACGGCCGCATACAAGGATCCCAGATACCCAACTCTGTATCCAGGCGTAGAAGCTCTTGCCAAAGGTGAATGGAGCAGACCAGAAGAAGACCCAACGACCAACTCGGGTTTCCGCCGATACGGGGCCAGCAAGCTCTGCGCCATAATGTTGTGGTGAGAAGCATCCTTTCCCTCCCTTTTATTTCATTCGGGTTTTCAAAGAGTAGTCCGCCACTGACCATGCTCTTACAGCGAGGAATTGGCAAGCCGCATAGCCAAGGATCCCAAGCTGAGCAACATCTCCGTCATCGACTTGGACCCGGGCGGCATGCCCACCGGCATTGCCCGCAGAGCTGGCTTTCTCATCAGCTTCGTCGTCATGAAGCTCGTGCTGCCCGTCATCACCGAGGTGAGCGTGCGAGTGAAGCCCAATGGCGTCCTCAGGGCTCCGTGGAAGAGCGCTGCGGACGCCATCAGGGCTTGCTTCGAGATTGAGGCTCACCGCGGCGAGGTGTTGCATCTGGACGGCACGGCGACGGATCTGCTGGTCGCAAAGGAGGCAAAAGACGAGGCGAAGAGAAGGGAAGTGTGGGAATACGGCTTGAAGGCAGCGCACATTGAAGAAGGGGACACTGTTTTGGTGGATTGGAAGTAGGCAGCAAGAGCCGGACGGGATACGCACCTGGTCACAGACAGGCTTGGAATACCTGTAGTTTTGTACGAGCCAAGATTGATATGCACACGGTATATGCAATTACATGTATACAAGTCACCTTGCTGCCAATGTTAGTGTCATGTTAAAATCTCATGTAATCCTAAATGGAGGACAGTATGAGATTGTTTGTCCATTGCCATAACAACACACCTATACATGTATATAGAAGATGGACAACCCGTCATCAAATCTCTCTCATTGGTGGGAGTTACTCCCGATTCGATCGTTATCCTTCTTATTAGTATCAGCACCTACCAATAGGAGCATCCAGTGTTCGATCGGATCTGTCTTCTCCTTCTGGAAACTCGACACCGAACATTCAAAATCGATGCGTGATTTCGACCAGGACCCCTTGCGTCTGATGTAAGGCACTAGGGCATGAAACAGACGCCGTCATTTTCAAAAGACGAGATGGGAAATGGCACTAAGAATAGATGGAGGCGAGTAAGATTTCTTCCGGGGCACCGATCTGTGCTCCAAGGCCCCATACAGTGGGGAGATGACGCCGTGATAACTAGTACTCTGAATCGGTGTTGAGATTAGATGATGTCAAGAAGCATCAATTCAATGGTGACGATGCAAGTCATAGACCTCTATTAACACACTCTGGTCGACTCGGTACTCGGATACTCTTCATCTGTTCGAGTGCGTAGAGTAGCAAAGGTCTTCGGTTCATATCAGCCGTCGTAAGACCAGAGCAGACAATGGCCTGTTCTGTTGGCCCCCCTTGGATATGTAGTCTATCGGAGAGATGTTTCATGTTTCTTAAGCAGCCCGCTTGCGATATCCGATTGGAGGTGCCAATAACTTCAAGGATTCGAGAGAATAGGGAGCCCCCACATCGAGTCCGTCCAGTCCAGCGTCGCCGTTTCAATCTCATCTGCACCAGCACTCGCATTCGCATTCGCAGTTCCTTCTTCTGTGCGCCGTTCGTGGTTACATTCGATGCAGTGTCCCTTTGGCTGTGTCTGTAAATGTCTCTAGTATTACCAGCAGCCACTCAATTGGCGCCGAAACGCATCTGTGACAGTGTCCCCCCTGGTCCTCGAGCTGCCGTCGGCGCGTCAATTGGTTGGTGGGCAAAGGTCTGCCGCTAGGGATGCCACTCTCGTGCATCCACAGGCTGCAGATCAAGGCGTCTGTCCGTCTGGTGATGAATGATGACGGGCGGCAGTTTAGTCGGGCAGGCATATAAACTTGAGGTGTCCATACTAAAGGTGTCCAGGTCAACTAATGAAAGGTCCATCCATTGATCCATTGAAAGAAGACTGCCGATCTGCTGGGAGAAGAGGAAGGTCAGCTGTACCGCCTTCATGTTAGCAGCCTCTTTCTGTGTCAAGTAAAGAGCAGCCTCATTTCAGCTGCATCGCGTCTGACACGCACCTTGCCCGTCATCGAACTTTAATTTCCTCTCAACTATCATCCAATCCCATCCGCACAGTCTTTTTTCTCCCCCCATATCAAATCAGATTGATCTCAACTGTTTACTGGCTCCGGGTTCTCAGTGCTCACAAGTCTCAGCCGAATCGATCATCGCGCCAGTCTCGCATTCCTGCAACGTTGAGAACGGATGCACGGCTAAACAGGAGCTGAGACCTGTCTGACACAAACCGCTGCGAACGAGCACCAGCTGCCCGCAACCAGTGCGCCTGTGGCAGCTCCCACGGGCACTAAAGCACCGCGGTTCCCCCCCGCTAGCATCCCCTGGAAAAGCCGTGCACCCAAAAATACAGCGCCCAGTCCAACAATCAGCCATTGACACCATGTGGGACCGCGCCCGAACCTCTGCCACAGCGGGTCTCGACAGGCTGCACCGGCCCTCTCGCCGGCACCTTAAAGACGGCCCCAGCACAGACAAGCCAGAGATTTATCTGTACGAGTACAGCCCTGCCAATGCTCTGGGCATCGCCGTCTCCAGCTTCAACTCGAGATATCATCACGGACACCAGAAACCGCAGAGGCCAGAGAGGCCAGAGATAGTACACGATAAGCCTTCAACCGCGGGAATTGGAATGTACGTACATCTATCTCCCGAGTTACGACTGGAATTCGCTTGTCTGGCCGTGGCTGCGTCATGCACAATGCTATCTCCATCCTATCCTATTGATCCTACCTTGTGTGCTGCGTTGCCACTTTGTTTTGCTGCGTCATTCGCCCGAGAGCACATGCCGGTTCGTTGGTCAAGGGCACAGCCTTGGGCGAATGCGCGTCAATCAAGGAAACAAAGGCAAAAAAACAAGGCCATGGCCCATCGTGCATCGGGCTATTTCCCCATCACCGTTGGTTGGTCGCATGATGCTGCTACTACAACCCGCCGGCTCGCGCTATCTGCACTGCCCACTGCCTGTTGCTCAGTCCATTTGATTTGTTTGAAATAGCCAACAAACGGCTTGCGGCTGACGTGAACATCCTTTCCCCAGTTCCAGATTTCCAACAGACGATCCGGCTGATTTTGCAGACGCATCGTCGCGCATCGCCTTTGAGCCGCCACCGAGGAACCCTAGACGATTATTGCGAGTGCGACAAGACTCCAAGGATTGCGCACCAGCATATCCATATCCCGAACTTCAGATCGTGACCGATTCGGAATCCACCTCTACTAGCGACGGAGACGGATACTCTTCGTCCCCGACCTCCAATTTCAAGCTGGCTTCGACATATTCGAGGCGGCGCCTTCCAGCGCTCGACCAAATCTCTCCTCCAAGCTCGCCGGAAATCGGCGCTTTCAAGAACAAGTAAGTGCTTTGTATCAATGGTGGCGCTTTGAACGGTTCACCATTTCATCTATTTCCATTGAACAACGAACAAAGAACTCGGGCCTATCTGGGTTTCAACCGTGTTTCAATACTAGTACTAGTACTAACAAAGGGTTGCCTGCTCAGCGCGCCTGTCTCTCCCCTAGACGACGATGATGCCGACTTTTCTCGAGAGTATCCTTTTAGAGGACAGCAGCCCACACAGTCCTTCACGACACAGCGCCAAATGAGCCATGTTCCCGCTCCCGCACATCAATACACTGCCTACCAACCCGCTCCGAACATGTACGATACATCTTTCGAGAACCCAAGAAGCCTCGAAGACGTGCCGGCCCCTATGCCGCAAGGCGCAATACCGCGGAGTACCAAGATGCGCATAAAGGTTCCAACTGACACTTCGGCGGTTGCACAGCGATTTCGCTTTCTCACCAAGGGCAAGTCGGAGCCATCAGAGAATCTGGCCGATCGACCAAGGCAAGGCGAGGCGCCGCCCATTCATATCCCACGGAGGAGCAGCAAGCGTGCAAGCCGCACCCCAAATGGCCTTCGAAACATATCAGCTCCCCTGCCACCTATCCAGTCTGGCACCAAGTTGGAAACGCCTCCGCGCCAGCCAGCAGCCACAGATCGCGAGCTGCTTCCGTCCTCACTGGCTCCAAAGCCACTGAACATAACACCAGCATCCAAGGTTGCATCGCAGAATATCAATGCTAACAATGGTGGTAATGCGCTTCCTACGCCGCCTAATCATGACTACCCGGCTCCGTTATCCATACCATCAGCTCGGTCACAGTCACCTGCTGGCCCAGATTTGACCCCTACCGGGCCTAGGATCATCAAGAGGAAGCCGCCACAAACTCACCAAGCCCAACCTTCGGCGCCGTCCAACCTGTCAAGTTCAAGCCCAGCATACATCAATCCTCCTCCTCGGAGAGCCTCGGCCGCAGCCGTCACCGGGCTCCACGAAGCCCCCCTTAGACGCGCCAATACGGATGAAACGTGGATGCAACCTCCATCACGCTTCAGTGTCACTACTTACGCTACATCGAACGCAGGGACTCCTCCACAGGCTGCTGTGGAGCAGATGCCTGCAAACGCACCGGTCACTACCCCGGTGATGAGCCGTCCAGGTCCATTTGCGAAGCGGAACAATGCCCATACTCCTATAACGATTCCTAAACAGAGGGCATACATGTCCAGCCCATATGGAATCGATAACCAGATGGCGACGTCGAGCGAAGTAACTCTGAGTGAACCGGGCCGCGCCCGAGCCGGCAGCAACACGGGGTCCACTGGCCGGAGCTCCATCCTGTCTACTGCCAAGCCGCTTCCACCCGCGCCTCCGGAGTTGGCACCAGCACCCGATGACAGGATTGCGCAACTAAATGCCGCTCTCTCAGCACTGGCTCACCGCAGAGTCAACATCAACAAAAGTATTCAACAAATGACGGAGCTGATGCCGCGAGATAACCTGATGGCCAGCGCAGAGGTGCTCCGAAAGAGGGAGGTTGAGAAGCAAAAAGTAGAGGGGCTGAGACAGGAGCTGGCCGAGATTCAGCACGAAGAGTATGACCTGGGCCTGAAGCTGCATAGGGCTTACAAGCGTCAGGAAAAGGATGCGGAGTTTGAGGTCACTGGCCTGTGGGTGAGAAGGATTACAAGCTGATTGGCGACGTGACTTGCTGAGCATGGCGCTGGGAATTGTTTGGTGGGTTTTCTTATTCTTTGCTGGTCAAGAAATTTGGGACATGTACGAGTATGGGTTGAAAAGGGCATAATCCGGCGTAGCACAAGGATATAGGATCAAATTATGAGAATTGGTCTAACCATTACTGCTATCTATATATCTATCTTTTTTACATATTTTCATTGTGCCTAGCTCAACCAGGAGAGTATCCAAAATATGCATAACAAGCACACAAACAGAACATACAACTCGCCAAAGGACAGCAATATTGCCCAAAGGATGAAGTGCAGGGCGAAAATGGCGATGGCGGGGCCGTATAGGTTGCCGAGGACTATGAACATTGACAAGATCCGGCGGAATGGTTCAAGACTGCGCTTGATGAGGAGGGTAAGGCGGATACGTGTGATGTATAAAGTCAAGCTTGCTTCGTCATAGAGTGATATGATAATATCGAGGTACGGTAAACATACGCTGTAGAAGTGAAGTGTGTAGAGTATGGAAAGTTGCACAAACTCTTGTAGACGGAGGAGTTGCGCTTGAATGAAGACGACCACAGAGCATGTCCAACTTTGTCGAGGCTGTAATATTTCCTCGGTCTGAGGACAAACAGTCGGGCTGTCAAAAATGTCGGACAAGGTTTCTAAAGACTTGTAAGGCTCAGGCTTAGAATCCATCTCGAGCTCATCATCAGTGAGACTGTCCTCCTTCTCATCCTTGTCCCGGGAGACCCCATCGAGCTGAGTTGCATGAATATGAGCTGCTAGATTCCGCACACTAAACCTCACAGACTCTGCAAGCTCTGCATAAACTGGTAAAAGCGCGTGCTTCGCGGACTGTGCGAATTTAGCAACGTAGTGCAAAAAGTAAATCGCCGCGAGGAGGCCGTGGGCGAGGACGAGGAGCGCGAGGTTCTGTACGAGGGGCCAGGGCGAGGTGCGGTGGGCGAGGAGGTTGCAGATGAGCGTGTAGAGGACGAAGAGCCTGGAAGTTGTTGTTGACGGGGGGAAGTGGGCTGGGCAGAGGCGGTAGAGGAGGATGAGGATGAGGAGGGGGGTGAGATGGATGAGGAGGGACATTGTTTGGGTTTGTTTTGGCGGGGGAGGATTTTCATGGTGAGTTTTTTTTTTATTTTGCGTGTGTTGGTATATTTATATTTATGTTTCTGTTTCTGTGTTTGTATGGGTATGCTTTGATATGTTGTGTGTTTTGTTGGTGGAGGTTGTGAACAAAGGTGTTGAACGGCGTTGAAGGAGTTGGTTGTAGGGTATGTGGTTGTTTGGCTTGTATGGCTGTTCAACGTTGAACTACAAAGAGCTTGGTTCACGAGCAACACTTGAACGGCTATTCAACGTCCTGTGTGTGTGTCCAATACTACCTAGTTGAATATAATTATAGTAGCAAATACTAGAAAAGAATACCTATAGTAGGAGATACTAGAGGGATGTAGTTATAGTAGTAACGACTAGAGGAGTATAGCTACAGTAGCAGAAAGTAGCAATAGTAACAATAGTATCTATTGCTAAAAGAACATAAGAAGACTCAAACACGTGCACATGCAATTCCAAAATTAGCTTGCTTTCAAAGAAATTATATGCATTCATATCGCCCACGTGGGCCGCGCCTCTTTATCTCGTCAATCGCCTGGATATACACAGCTCGATCCTAAAAGGGTGTGTACTATGCAAAAAACAAAAACTAAAACAGTAAACCATCAGGCAATGATATATATACATGACAAAAAACAATGCTTTCGTTCCATGACAGACGTCCTCTCCGTTTCCCTCTATTCAGTCCAACTTTCGTTGTATTGTAGCTAAACCGGGCACCTCTAACGTGGACTCATTCTCCCCAATTCACTCCTTCAACCAGTCAAGGACCACCTTGGTAAAGTTGGAGGGAGCAGAGATCTGAGGAGCGTGGCCCAGGGTGGGGAACTGGTACAGGGTGCAGTCGGGGATCTCGCCGCAGACCTGAGGACCCAGGACGTCGAAGTGGCCGAGCTTGGCGGCGACCTCGGGGGGAGACCAGTTGGCGCCGATGGCGACCTTGTCCTGGTCACCGACGATGAGCAGCGTCTTGGAGACAATGTCGCCAAAGTAGTGGGCTTGGGGCGAGGTCAGCACCATGTCGACGATCTGGCCCTGGTTCTTGAGGAACTGGGCGCGCTTGGAGCCGAAGTAGACGTTGTTGAGCATGGTGACCCAGATGGTGTACGAGTCGTCCCACTGGCCGACGTAGTAGATCTGCTGCTCGTAGGCCTTGAGGGCGGCAAAGGTCTGGGCGGCCTCGGCGGCGATGTCGTCGTCGACGGAGACGTAGGGCACGCCCTTCTCGACGTAGTCCTCCAGGCCGACGGGATCGACCAGGACCAGGCGGTCGATGGTGTTTGGGTACTGCAGAACGAAGCGGGTGCTGAGCATGCCGCCGACGGAGTGGCCGATCAGGGTGATGTTGCCGATTCCCAGCGTGTTGAGGAGGCCGCGGGTGTTCCAGGCCAGCTGGTTAAGGCTGAACTGGTAGTTGTCGGGCTTGGAGCTCTTGCACCAGCCGACCTGGTCCGGCGCGATGACGCGGTATCCGGCGCCGGCGAGGGCGATGATGGTGGAGTTCCAGGTAGGGCCGCAGAAGTTCTTGCCGTGGAGCAGCACCGCCGTCTCGCCGTTGGGGGCGCACGTGGGCTTGATGTCCATGTAGGCCATCTGCAGCTTCTGCTGCTGGCTGGTGAAGGTGAAGACGTTGACGGGCCAGGGATACGTGAAGTTGGAGCCGTTGAGGTCCAAGGGGAACGGGCCCTTGGAGATGGAGCCCGTGGCAGCCTCCTGGGCAAAGGCCAGGCCGGCGGCCGAGAGGAGGCCAGAAGCCAGAGCAGAGAACTTCATGATGGGCTTGAGGAGAGGGCAAAGAGAGAGAGAGAGAGAGAGAGAGTCTAGGTTGGTTCTTGACCTGGGGAGAGAAGTTATTCTCGACGCAGACTCAATGCAGAAAAAGAAACAAAACGGGAGGGGGACAAGAGGCCTTTAAAACAAGCCATTGCCAGCTCCAAAAGCCAGGGGAGGGCTGGCGATTGCGCGTGGCAAGCGGAGAAAGGTTCGTGGAATCGGACAGGGCTTCGACGAGGCTTGATGAGGCTTGACGAATTCAATCAATCTTGGAGGCACCCGCAGGTACCGCAACGGTAGCGAGCACCGCCGGGCCAAGGTACTCGCCAAGTACCCTTCAGCGAACCACCAGCTGCTCGTCTTTGTAATGCTGCGCGCAGCACGGCGGCCAACAAAAGCAAACGGGCGACGGACTGGTCTGCCCAGCAATCTCCATTAATTCTTACCAACAGCAAAAAACGGGCTACGAATATGGAGAAGCAGCAATATTAGCGGCTCAGGTTGTCTGCATTTAATTACCTCGACATGGCTAGCAACTACTAAGCATCCATCCCCCCCCTTCTCCGCGGCAGCGCCAGCCGAATTGCAGCCACCGCAATCTTAGTGCGCGGTACCATCGAGGTACGGGGGGCGGTACCTGGGGCGGTACCTGCAGCACCCCGACCCGATACCTGCGGTTAATTTTCCTATTGCGTGCCCCTCCGTCGGCACGAGACGCTGTTGGTCCTTGATTCGCTGCTTGGGGGCTTGGCTGGTGCAGGCGGAGGGAACAGTTTGCGGTGCAGACGGCATGTCGATGCAACTTTGGACAATATAATGCTCCGTCCCGGCAACGGGGCAGACAACCTCTATAACGTAAAACCAGCTGCAGGCGACGAACCAACAGCAGCAGCAATGATTCGAGAGCTCTGTTCCCATGCTGGAACTGGAGCGCATGAACCCTGGGAGCACTGCAGCATCTCCTCCTACTAGTCTGTAACATCTGTACCCGGATTGTCGCTGCCATTCCCTTTTACTCGCCAACTCTGCTCCGTACTTGTATATATGTCGACGGGCAACTCAATTCGCAGCCAGGCATTAGACCTTATCCACCTCCATGGCCCGGAAATATCGAGTCCCATCTCGTGCCGTATTACCATGGCCACGTTTTCCAACCGCTGCTGTCCGCCTTGCCCGTTGCGGCTCGTTCAGCGAAGCAACGGCTCCGTGCTAGCCATAGGCCCTGCTGCTTCTAGTACGAACGAATACTGATATCATATCCAAACCCAGCCTCGTTAATGGGCTAATAGACGAAGCCCCATTCCTGCGTGCCACGTTTTTTCTCGGTTAATCAATTGTTCTCTCTTTGCTCCGTACGGAAGGATGAGGTTGTTGTTAACACCCCAGAAACTGGTACACCGACCTTGTCCAATCAACTCGTGTCCTACGCCGTGTCCCGGCCGAGTTTACCGTCCTCACCGCAGGAGCTGAGAAGGCTAACCCTCCGTATCCCATTCAGCAGACTGCTCTTCGACGCCTTCTAGCGTCTTGGCATCAGTTGAGTGACCTTCTCGCCTCCTCCCGTAGGCTATGCAGTCCAATGGATCAAGAGCTGACGGGGGCTTTTCTGGGGCTTTGACGGCGCTGGACCCGTCACTTTTCCTCTTGAAAGCTTCAACTTGCGGCCATGAAAGAGGAAATCATCCTACCAGCTGTAGGTGAAAGCTGAGGAATGATGAAATGAAAGAGGCAAACTATTGCTTTCTAGCTCCTCGTTAAGTAATCTCTCCTGACTAGCTATTAATGCAAGCCGCGGAACGTAATGGCAACTCGCGGTGAGGAGAGAAAAAGGGAGAGGGGCAGAGAGGAAAGAGGAAAGAGAGATGAGAGGTGAGTGAATGGTTATATTCTCATTCCTCTCAGCCAAAGGCGACCACCGTGGTGTTTGAGATGAACACCTTGTGCGCTCATGACAGCTATCAAGGACATGTGAAATGGCAGCATGACGTAAATCTCACCTGGATGAAGCGTCTCCATGCTATTTTAGGGTTTCTTTCCATTTTTCTTTTCTTCACAAGGTTAATATTTAATATTTATGCCTGCTTATGCGCGGCCAGCCACTTGGAAGCGCGCTTATCCAGGCATTGCAAGAAATAAAAAAGAACATGCGACGGAAGTGGATTGGGGATTTAACCGACCCCATTACTCACCCACTGCCAATTCATTAACAGCATCCATGGCTAGGTTCATTCCCCACGGCAGAGCCGGCAAACCCGTCAGGGCCAGCATTCTGGGACAGGGACAAAGACGGCTCTCACGGCACAGCTGGACTTTGCACCGCGGACGCAGCGCCACGGGGGGCATTTAATGGACTGGAGGCCCTTGATAAGAGTTTGGCGTCTGTAAGTAGCTCTGGTTCCTTTTCCTCGCCATGGGAACTAGCATAATACAGAAGCCGACACTCGGAGTTGAAAAGGACGCGGGAGCCGAGAATGGAGAGCCTCGCGGTTGAGTGTTTCCGTGGAGTATGTGCCACTGTGTGGTCGCACAGCTAGACGAGGATTGAAAGACCGTCGAGGTGGCAGAGCGGTAGATGAAAGCGATCGACGAACTCGAGGCGTCCATGGGAACTTATATCCATCTTGTCTTGTCCCTGAAGCGCCGATCGAACATGTGTTTGGTCAGAGGGATCAGCGTTGGATCCATGCATGACACGCATCTTGAGGAATCTTGCACCATCAGATAACCTGACAAGCGCTCAAAATCTTCTCCGTCTCGGTTCTTCTGTCCTCCACTAGCCTGAGCCGTTGAACCACCGAGCAGATCGACTGAGAGAGAGGCTTCGCTCTTCTCCCCTCGGCCATCTACCGGCCTGCCCCTCGTGCTTGTCCCTTCTCCGAGCGTTGTTAGTCATGGCCACAGCGAAGCCAAAAGCAGGCGACGGCCTGTCTCTGGTGCTTACAAGTACGGCCAACTTGCCCAATCCAGACACCGGCAAAAAGCTGGGCGCAGGCACTAAGAGACGTCGTCGAAGCAGGGTTTCGATTGACGACATGTCGTTCGCCTCTTTTGCGCTTGCATTGAAAGCGAGCCGTCCGGGATACCCTGGACCGCCTGAGCCTTAGTAAGGCGCTGTCGTTTAGCAGAGGCGCTAGGGACGCCTAGCGGCTCCCAGAGGTACCTTGAGGTACCTGGGCTGTTGGCCGGTGCTTACCACT